GAAGGGGACAAGAGAAAAGTATGAAACAAATTTTAACTTCAAGATTTGTTCGAAATAAATCATAAAAGATACACGACGATGCAAGCATACAACTTATTAGCTTAAAACTCACTATAATCTAAAGGGTGCACCAGACGTTAGCTTTAAAGTTTGAAGAAAAGAGAAGTGATAAACCATGGTATAGCAGTTGCTCCAATAACTTCTTCAATAAAGTAAAAAAGAATAGCAAACAATCCGCCTTCTCTAATTTCATTTCCAAAACCTAGTTTTGTTTTATGTATGAAGTAAATGCTACAAATATAACACAAGCCCCAACAGATTAGAAATGACAGTCACACCCGCCTACTATAATGACAATTGTTAGCATAAATTTAAGCATTCAAGGTGATTCCCACCAAGCATCTGTTCAGGTACAGCTTCAGGTGCAAAAGCTCAGAGTTTATCCATGTCATCAGATCTGCTTCATAGATTTCAGACCAAACAACCTTTGGTGGGTATAACATTTACTGTCCTCGAGCTTCTAAAATCAAATAAGTAATACACAGCATTATATGATTTAGAATTATAACTTAACAAGCATAGGATTTGTTGCCTGTTGGCCAAGAAGCAGAACATCAAGGAATTGCATTAACCATTTCCCAATAAATAGAAGGACAGTCAACATCGTGTCTCATATACTTTCCCAAAAAAAACATCGTGTCTCATATGCAGGATGGCAATACAATGACCCTCAGAGAAAAGACAGTATCGCTAAACTGATTTGACTCTAAACTCTAAAGGTATATATGGTAGGAGGGATGGAGAGTTTGAAGGCATTGAAGGTCAAGAGGTGGCAAATAAGAAAAGACCGCAGGCAAAGGAAGCTGCCTTTCTCTCCCTCTTGGGGTAAAAACAACCAATGTAGGAAGGTCTGGGTGGGCAGTAAGATATTAAAACTAAGCATTAAAAGAAAGCTAGTTCCAAGGAAAAAAATAAGGGGGGAAGGAGAGAAGAGGATGAATTTTTTCCTTCAGGGGGAGGGCAACATCTTCCAACATACCACCCCCAAAAAAAACCAAAAAGAAAAATTAACTCCACTCTCAAGTAAAAGGGCGAAGAGATAAGTGGAGTTGGCTAGTACAGGAAAACAATATACTTGCATAAATTAAGTTCAGTTTCAAAATAACTGCTGGGCTTAATGATGCCTACAGTGGATAGAAAGAGTCTCAAGAAACAGTTCTTCACCGGAAGATACTAGGAAATAAAACATTAGATCTAGGTGATCATGATCATACTGTTATGATCCTTTTTTGTGCATTGAGTTTTACCAAATATTACACTAACAGGATTATTGATTTTTGTGCATATAGCTGCACCATCTTTCATAAACAAAATCCGAGCTCCTGAAAACTGACATATATGATTTAACCCGTGATTGGTGAACCCAGTATAATAGAACCAAAGCTCAACCAATCAATACTCATGCCAACTTCAACTCTTATGCCAGGAAAGCAGATATTCCTACGATAAGATCCTAAACAAGAAGCCAAACATGTGACATGCATCAGCAAAAAACTCATCAAAAGAGAATCTACAAGGAAAAGGCTTGTTAGATGAATGTTTAAGGTCTAATCATACCTTAACTGGAATGAAGATGAAATGCAGAACCCAAACATTCGTTTCGCCAGTCCAATATGTTACAGCAGTCCCACGAAGAGGAACTCCAACATGATACCAGTGTCTCCAATATAGGTAAAGTTAGAGACCGCAAGATAAAATTGGGAGCACCATAAAAATACCATAATATATAAGTTGACAACTGCCATGAAAACTCCAATGTGTTTCAATAAACACAAGAATTGCACCTAAATAACCCCAAAAATAACACAATACACTTGAATTTATACTTTATATGTAAACATTTATAAAATAAGAAACCACGTGAAAATAAACGACATTTTGTTTTCAACACCCTCCCTTTTCCCCAACAAGAAAAAAACCCAAAAGAATAAAAGACATACTCTGCACCACTCCAGATATTGACCTTTGGAATGGAATGAACATTCTTAAGTAATTAGTATTCTTTAGTTTGGTAGATGGTTACCATCCCCATGGAATTATAGATCCCATGAACAAAGGATTAGCCATTCCCCAAATACACATGGTATTTGTCATTACCAAGAAAGAGGGAATGAGCTAAATTTACCTTAGACCTAAAACCCGATTGTAAGATTTCTCCAAATCGTTCCTCTCAATTCCATTGATCACTATCTGTTACCCCTCTTCTCTCCTCACCTCTCCTCATCTCTACATCACCCTCTCATAGAGACCTATGGCGTCCCTTCCTCCTTCCGTCCCAGTCACCATCTTCATCTCCCTTATCTCTCTGAAGTAGATCTGCAACCAAGACTAGAAGAATTTGACATTGGCCACTGATTTTAAGTAATTTCTCACTCTCTTTTCACTTTCAGATCTTTTTCTTCGAGGTTTTGACACCACCTACGAAACTCATGAGCTCCATCGATTGATGAATTTGTTTATTGCTAGGTATTCTAAGATTTGAATTTCAATCACTATTGTTTAGTTCATGATGTTAATTAAGATACAATATCACATGTATTAGGATCACCCATATATATAACAATTACTTGCATACTGAATTTCCAGTAGCTTCATATTGAACTTCTGTGCCTCTTGCATATAAAATTTGTGCCATTGTTGTGTGTTTGGATGTGATTTTTTTAGATTTATTTATGGAATGATGCGAGCCTTCTTCATGAAACTTCTTTGGTGTTGTATTTGATTAAGCAATAACTAATTATCAATACAGTTTACTTTTTGGGGAAAAAAAAAAGAATTCTAGGTGAAGCTCTTCATGAATCATGAATGAGTTTGTGTCCCTTATTTTTCTTCTTTGGCCACACATTCTCAACATCCTCGGACATAGATGACCAGATATACGACATGGATGCATTCTTGTTCGAGTATGCAACTGGCTCATTTTTTCTTTCTCTCTCCAATTCCTCCACCACATCAGCTGTGCCATGCGCCATTCTAACAGTGGCCTGATCCTTTCCAAATATGATGCACAAATTCTCATAAAAGGGCAAAGATTTATCGCTAAACTTTTCTGCTCCGGCTCTACAATATGAATAAGTACAACATTAAACACAATCAAAGAAGTGAAACCAAACTAGTCACACAAATACACAAGTCATAGATAATGCTACCTATATATTTTGCCTGTGCAATTGTCGTGGGTGTTGCAATTTGCGACATGAAGAAGAAGATTTATGAAGATTTGATGAAGTTGCCTAACTTTTTGATGGGTGAGGCATATAATCCATGTGGAAAAAAACAAGTTTCTATATGAAACAAAAAAAAAAAAATACTGCATAAAGCACAAGTACAAAGTCTCCAGGACAAAAACAAAAAAATTAGGAAAATTGAACCCTGTAAGTTTTGCCACAAAATAACCATAAAGAGTTAACGATACGGTCAAAAGACAACGGATGATACTGAATTGCAAACAGAACCCAGAGATGCACCTTACACTAATCTACAAAACCAAGAGGAATAAGATATATTATAATCAAGGCTATGCGAGCGTATAACTTGCACATACCCCATGCTTCATTAACTGCTGCATTTCACCGTCCAATCCCCAGATGTAGGGAGCAGACACCAACCAGGCTTCAGAAATATAAATTTCAGGTATATCACAAAGCAAATAAGCGCGTCACAACAAAACACAAATGAAGCTAGTAAGAAATAAATGAGAAAATGACATGAAAAATAATTTCAAATAAGACAATATCGCAAATCATCAGCAACCTGCTAATCATGGATGTCTAAACAATGCAAAAAATTTAGAAGCATCAAGATGTTCTCAAATAGAAACCACGACCATAAATGGAGTCCAGGTGCAATAAAGAATCAGTAGCACCATCACAATTCAAAAATTCCCCTGGTGAATTTCTCGTAGCAGTGATTCATTAACTGAACTTCGTTAAAATGTCTCTGCAATTGTAACAACAGCACAGCAAGAGTAAAGGTGTGAGTCTGAAATCTCCAACAAGTTGAACTCATAGTAACAGTAAGACAAAATGTGGACAATAGCTCCAAGAAACTTCAAGCCTGCCAAAGAGTATGATCAAGAACAAAGACATTAACAAACCACATGAAGAAAGAATAATGTCAGTCACAACGGAAAAAGCGGAAACCGTGGCGTGTGGGTATATATATATATATATATATATCCCCTTCTTTTGCATTCAAGTGTTTCACATTAAAGCGCCTCGAAATTGCTAAAGGTTATTTGTAAGATGAGCCCAAATATATGTAAACATTCTTATGCATATATACATGTATACACACATCGATATATGTATATATCCATAGGTCCTATTTAGGTGAGGAGCCGGAGAAGCAATTTTCTGGGATCTTTATATCTGCTTTCCTACAAACTCCAACCTTAGACAAAAAAATAAATGATTATTCAAACCACAATAATTTAGCTTTGACTTTCCTAGTCCATCCTTTTTGAATGATTTAGTTTAATTTATTGCCACACTCTCTAGAACCAACCATGGCCCTCTCATTTATACATGAACAAATATATATGAATATAAATGTATACAAAAATATATCTTTACATATATCCATACCTATATACATGTGTCTATTTGGACTAGTCTTGCATATAAACTTTAGCAATTTCGAGGCTCTTTAATGTGAAACACTTGAATGCAAAGTAAAGGGTCATTTTTAGTACAACCCCCACCCCAACACTCACCAAAACGAAAACGAAAACCAAGATGGGAAGACGACAAAAAAAATAAAAATTAAAAAGAGGAGGAAAAGAAACATGCCTGGGATGATAATGCTGGAAACATTTTGTTTTTAAAATTTGAAAACTGGAATATTAAAATAAAAGCAACACTTTTCAGTCTAGAGATCAACTGTGCAAAGGCAACCACAAGTCTGTTTTGATGAACCAAACACTCAATTTAGAACACCAACAACATGTCAGAATTAAAACATGATTGGTATGGATTACAAATACAAATGGAATAAACAAGTCTATTCACCGTACCTAATATAGAATTTCATTTACCAAAGCAATTACGTTGCTCATAACTCATATCCCTTCCTTTCCATTTTTGTCAGCATTTGGTTTCAATATCACAGGTGGAGGTTTCTTTCCCATCATTGAACTTAATGTCACACAGGCAGGTTTATATGAAATATCCGAAAAATAAACAACTCATCCATTGAATACAGCTCCAGACTCCAGTGGATCTTTCTAGCCATGTTGGATGAAGTCACAAAAAACATTTATGATGTGAAAACTTTGATTATGAGAAGTAAATATGTAATATAAACGAGAAGTAACCATGCACACCAAAATTCGGGATGGGAAAAAGAAAAGAAGTTGCACACTTACATTTATGACGAAACCGTTTTATTTCATCTCAGCCATGAACTTCTCATATTCGGAATCTGCACCATAACTAGCTTGCTGACTTGGCTCTGCAGATGGAATAGGTGGATGCACAGGTTGGTTTGAAGCCCATGGTGCACTTGCAAAACTCTGTTGGTCCCCCATTGAATAAGACACAGCAGGAAGTGGAGGAGCGGCAGCATAATAAGAAGGATAACCCAAAGAAGATAGGTGATAGGCAGTCTGAGAGTTTGGTGGCATTGCACTTATTGTGTTTCCATAAGCAGTTGCTGATTGTGCAGTAGTGTTATTCTGAGTTGGCACACCAGGGGGGTAGCTTTGTTGGGCTTCACCAGAAGGCATGTTCTGCTGTGGGGCACCAGAAACAGCTGCTTGTGCCAATGGGGGATACTGGACACCATAAGGGGGCATAGGTTGACCAAGGGTGTACATATGTGATCCAGGAGGAGGCGGAGGAGGGGCATAAGAAGCATATGGAGGAGGAGCAGGCGGTCCCCAACGAATGGAAGCACCCATGTAACTGCCAGGGGGTGCACTTCCGAAAGGGCCTGATGCATTTTGATGTGGCGGATATCCATTAACTGCCTGATTGGGACCAGTATAGCTGGGTACTGGTGGTACTGGAGCTCCAGGGTTTACAGCAGGTTGCGGTGGCTTACCAGCAACTCGTACTGCTATCATTCTCCCCTCCAAGCGATGACCATTCATCTGAGCAATGGCCTGATTGGCCTGTGAAATATCAGAATATTTCACAAAACCATAACCTTTACTCAATCCACTCACTCTATCCTTGATAACCTTAGCCATAACTATATCACCAAAAGGTGAAAACAATTGAATCAGAGCATCATCCTCGAAAGTAGGTGGCAGGTACCCGATATACAAATTAGTATCATCAATTTCCTTTCCAATCTTAGATACATTGCTCCCTAGTCCAGGATGCAAAGTGCTCCCAGTACCTCCTGCACTGCTACCACCAGCCCAAGGGGGATTGCTTCCTGAATTATTAGAACCCATAATAGGTAATGCCGTGCTTTGTTTAATAACAGATTCTGGGATGGTGCCACCTAATTCTGCCAAGAAATTTTGGTATTCATCATCCATCTTTTTACCTGTTGTCCCTTTTACAGGACAATCAATAGTCGGATGCCCACCGTCACCACAAATCTTACATAACACATCACTCTTAAATGTTGACATCCGAGCAGGACATGCATATTGCCTATGCCCTGGCTCACCACACAACCTGCAAAACTCATCCTCCCTTATAGTCCCATTCAACGCAGCCAATTCCCTCAGCTGTTGCCTCTTGTGCTCATTCAACACTTCATCCACCGGCTGCAAAAGCTTCTCCACCATCCCTGCTGCAGCATCCAGCGCATCCTGCGTGTCCGCTTCCACCAAGACATGCAAATCCTCATTTTCTGCCGGATCAAACTTCAAATCCTTTTTCTGCCCCAACCTACCTTCTTTTATCGACCCCTTGCCACGAATCACAATCTTTGCACCTGTTTCCTTCTCCATCCTCTTCTGCGTGTTCCCTCTCGGTCCAATAATCAATCCAATAAAATTATAACCCGGGTATTCTTTCATTGGTATGTATAGCTTCTTGTGAAGCTTTGGTGGCCTATAATCTGCAGGCGGCTTAAATGCCGGATTCCGCTTAATTATCTGTGAAATTATGTCTTGTCTTTCTTTATTAAGTCGTTCTCTGGCTCTATACTCTCTAGTATTTATTCGAATTCCCAAGTTATCATATACAGGTTCGGGAGAGGGCGATCTGCCCCCCTCGGGACGATCATCCAAAGGCAAATTTGATTGTAACATACGACTAATTTCGAGAAGTCTAGCATTTAAAGCTTGAATTTCAGGGTCAACGTCCAAACCTCCAATGAAGTCCTTCATAAAATCTGGTAGCTGAAAGGCAGGTTTGGGCTCATCGTCTGCCCACCGGGACTTACGCTTCTTAGGTCCATTATCTGTGTCGCCGTTCTCTGCCTCAGATTCCGGTGGAGGGTCCCATCGGCTGCGCCGCCGTCGTCGGCTACTTGTGGTGGCTTCTTCCCCGCCTGAATTATCTTTATCTGCGCTCGCCTGGGAGACTTCAACACCGCCATTAGTAGGGTCTTCATGAGGTAGATTCGGGTTAGGCAATTCGGGTTCGGATGAAGTATTAGGGTTCGTAGCATCAAAGGCTAGGGCTGCTGCTGCTGGTGGTGAAGGAGGAGGAGGAGGAGGAGGAGGAGAAGTTTGATCATGTGGGACTAGGTTTTGAGGGGGGTTTTGATCGGACGACGGTGGTTGATTGAGAGAAGAATACGAAGAAGGAAGTGGTTGTTGTGAAGAGTAAGCTAAGGTTTCTGATGGGGAAAAGTTCAGATTGCGAGAATCGAGTTCGGGTGGATGATTGGGAGGGGGTTCAGAAGCTAGGGTTTCGGAGAGTACAGAATCCATGATGAGAGAGAGAGAAAGAGGGAGAAATAATCTTGGACAAGATTTGGATATGGCCTCGTTGTGACGTCGCGTTACTTCGCCTTAAAAAGATCGGTTCCGGTGATCTTACAAAAAAAAATTATTTTTTTTTCTAAATTGATTCAAAATTAAATTTTATTTTTTATTTTGAAATAATCTTTGAATTTTTTATTATTTTAAATTTACACCTAAATTAACAATTTTGTATTAATTAAGTTCCTTCCTCAATTTTAATCATTTGAACAAAGTAAAACAAATTTGATAAAAAAAAAAAGTAAAACAAAGGCATGTTGAAATATTTCAAAAATTCTGAAAGCATCTATAAATATTACAAAACACCATAAAACATAAAATTAAAATATCGATTCAATCAATTTTCTTAAAAACATAAAATACTTTTTTACATGGAGGAGGGAGGGAGTAGTGGGGTGTGTGATTGAGATTTCAAATAATAAATTTTTAATATTTTAATAAATAATCTAAAAAGATTTGATTGAGAGAAGAGAGAGTCATTGTAGATGAATGTCCATCCTATACGACTCAATTGATACTCTTATGTAATAATCATCCCTCAAGGAGTGCTTAGTGTTTATCGTAAATCATTAAGTAAGGTCTTATGTATAATGTTCTGAAAGAGTAATTTTATATTTATATACATAAAAAATGTGCACCAATTGATTGTCCGCTTTTGGATGATAGCAGGTTCTATTGATCCAAAGACTGATAATGATTTGATGAACATAGTATAACTCGTTCCGAAAATGCCAAAAGATTTTGATAGCAAAAACGTCTGACTAACACTTGGTCCCCAAGCCACCTGTTCGAACTTGGGTTGGGTTGGATCGGTAGTTAATATGGATTTGGTTCAGCCCAATTTGTGAGTTATAGATTAGGCCTACACTCTGATGTTAGTAGCCCAAGAAATACTTGTTAAAAATTAACTCAGTACTTTTGTGACTCAAACATGCAATGTCTACTTATAATGGAGCAATTTTATTGTTGTGTCAAAGCCTGCTCTCTTATTTTTCTTTGCTCAGCATAAAAAATGTTTCCTCCAATTTGAAATAGGAAATTTGTAAATTTTCAACAATAGACTTATTTAGCGACGGGGTTAGTATTCTGTGGGTTTTACTGATCATTCACTAAGGTGAATTGTCCATGGATTATGATGAGGGTGGAATTTTGAGCATGAGCCGCCAAGATTATAGGCCAAAAGGTCCTACGGCCCAAAAAGAATGTCTTGGATTAGTCCNAGGAAGTGGTTGTTGTGAAGAGTAAGCTAAGGTTTCTGATGGGGAAAAGTTCAGATTGCGAGAATCGAGTTCGGGTGGATGATTGGGAGGGGGTTCAGAAGCTAGGGTTTCGGAGAGTACAGAATCCATGATGAGAGAGAGAGAAAGAGGGAGAAATAATCTTGGACAAGATTTGGATATGGCCTCGTTGTGACGTCGCGTTACTTCGCCTTAAAAAGATCGGTTCCGGTGATCTTACAAAAAAAAATTATTTTTTTTTCTAAATTGATTCAAAATTAAATTTTATTTTTTATTTTGAAATAATCTTTGAATTTTTTATTATTTTAAATTTACACCTAAATTAACAATTTTGTATTAATTAAGTTCCTTCCTCAATTTTAATCATTTGAACAAAGTAAAACAAATTTGATAAAAAAAAAAAGTAAAACAAAGGCATGTTGAAATATTTCAAAAATTCTGAAAGCATCTATAAATATTACAAAACACCATAAAACATAAAATTAAAATATCGATTCAATCAATTTTCTTAAAAACATAAAATACTTTTTTACATGGAGGAGGGAGGGAGTAGTGGGGTGTGTGATTGAGATTTCAAATAATAAATTTTTAATATTTTAATAAATAATCTAAAAAGATTTGATTGAGAGAAGAGAGAGTCATTGTAGATGAATGTCCATCCTATACGACTCAATTGATACTCTTATGTAATAATCATCCCTCAAGGAGTGCTTAGTGTTTATCGTAAATCATTAAGTAAGGTCTTATGTATAATGTTCTGAAAGAGTAATTTTATATTTATATACATAAAAAATGTGCACCAATTGATTGTCCGCTTTTGGATGATAGCAGGTTCTATTGATCCAAAGACTGATAATGATTTGATGAACATAGTATAACTCGTTCCGAAAATGCCAAAAGATTTTGATAGCAAAAACGTCTGACTAACACTTGGTCCCCAAGCCACCTGTTCGAACTTGGGTTGGGTTGGATCGGTAGTTAATATGGATTTGGTTCAGCCCAATTTGTGAGTTATAGATTAGGCCTACACTCTGATGTTAGTAGCCCAAGAAATACTTGTTAAAAATTAACTCAGTACTTTTGTGACTCAAACATGCAATGTCTACTTATAATGGAGCAATTTTATTGTTGTGTCAAAGCCTGCTCTCTTATTTTTCTTTGCTCAGCATAAAAAATGTTTCCTCCAATTTGAAATAAGAAATTTGTAAATTTTCAACAATAGACTTATTTAGCGACGGGGTTAGTATTATGTGGGCTTTATTGATCATTCACTAAGGTGAATTGTCCATGGATTATGATGAGGGTGGAATTTTGAGCATGGGCCGCCAAGATTATAGGCCAAAAGGTCCTACGGCCCAAAAAGAATGTCTTGGATTAGTCCAGCGAAATTGAAGAATTTCCAGTAGGGATTAGAAAGATAAAAGTTCAACCAGGCTCTATCAAGGCCCAGCCTAACAGTAGCCCAAAGAAGAAACGAATCATTCGCCCCTAAACAACTCAGATATGCCACGCGCCCAAAGGACAAGGGGACCATCTCTGAATCAGCTGCAGCTGCGCATTCTTGGACAAAGAAGATGGTGGAGCTTAAGGTCCTAGAGATCGTGGGTACTAGGGGAACGATGAAGAAAGGTTTTTGCAGGACAAGGACAAGAGATTTCCACGNTAATCTTTGAATTTTTTATTATTTTAAATTTACACCTAAATTAACAATTTTGTATTAATTAAGTTCCTTCCTCAATTTTAATCATTTGAACAAAGTAAAACAAATTTGATAAAAAAAAAAAGTAAAACAAAGGCATGTTGAAATATTTCAAAAATTCTGAAAGCATCTATAAATATTACAAAACACCATAAAACATAAAATTAAAATATCGATTCAATCAATTTTCTTAAAAACATAAAATACTTTTTTACATGGAGGAGGGAGGGAGTAGTGGGGTGTGTGATTGAGATTTCAAATAATAAATTTTTAATATTTTAATAAATAATCTAAAAAGATTTGATTGAGAGAAGAGAGAGTCATTGTAGATGAATGTCCATCCTATACGACTCAATTGATACTCTTATGTAATAATNATTTCCACGGGATCAACAAAAAGGCAAGAGATGCCACTATGAACCCTAAGAGAGACAACCCATATATAAAGAATAGTGCCTTACAAATAAAAAGGTCTCCTTTGAAAACCAGATAGAAACTCTGGGATCAAATCCACTCTCCCTATAAACGGTCTTGAGTCTGTAATTCAACTACATTCAACAAAAACTCTATACACAACAAACGGGAGCAAAAAACTCCATTACAATGGATTAGCTAAGTTTTTCAGCTAGTGAACCACTTATTTTCTTGNTTAAAAACATAAAATACTTTTTTACATGGAGGAGGGAGGGAGTAGTGGGGTGTGTGATTGAGATTTCAAATAATAAATTTTTAATATTTTAATAAATAATCTAAAAAGATTTGATTGAGAGAAGAGAGAGTCATTGTAGATGAATGTCCATCCTATACGACTCAATTGATACTCTTATGTAATAATCATCCCTCAAGGAGTGCTTAGTGTTTATCGTAAATCATTAAGTAAGGTCTTATGTATAATGTTCTGAAAGAGTAATTTTATATTTATATACATAAAAAATGTGCACCAATTGATTGTCCGCTNACCCAGTATTAACTGAAATTCACTCTCAATAAAACAACAACGATGGATTATATCAGTAAATTAAGTCTAAATGTTATTACTGTTACTCTATATAGATGCCAAGTTTTAGCCTAAGAGGAGCCAAACCACAGGATAGATTGGCTGTCCACTTTGAGTTAGAGTGTGGCTCTTCTTATTTCTTCTGTCTTTTTTATGATAATCAAATTTACTTATGTCGTTGGAGTATATTGTGTCTTACTAGTTGATGAAGTCCATTACCAATCCGACGAAAACAGGGAATGTAATAGATAAATTTCATGGACGAAATCGATTCAACTAATATTGATGTTTTTTTTTTTCTTTTTTCAGTTGTTTGTTTGCCAAATACAAGAATCCCATAAACTTTGAGCCAACCAAATCTGCCGGAAGTAGGTTTGTCAATCCTGCAGGGTATCAACTATCAAATCAAGCAACACCAGCTGCCTTCTTTGTTCACTTCCTCTATCCTCATATTTTTTTTTTTT